AATATGGAAGGACTTTCGCTTTGCTTATGTGTCTTAAATTTAATCCACCCCTATTTATTAAAACACTAATTTTTCAATTTTTAACTGTATAGTTATGGTTTATAAATGGATAAGGGATTTTTTTTTCTAAATTATGGTCAGAGTCAGCAAATATGCACTTACGACTTCGAAATATGACCCCATATTTGCCCTATTCACCTCTAACAAGGTTAATTCACTTATTTCAAGTTAACGAGCCATTACGGCGTTCTTGCGTAAAGGTACTAAAATGTAGGGACGTAATTGTTGCACCTCGAGTACTAATTAAAATGAAAATTACTACCCTCAAGTGCAGATACCATCAGCAATTAACTGAAAATTAGAATAATGGGGTGAGTGAAGCAAAAGTATATGCGACCCAACTTACGTTACAAATTTTACGTACATTAGCAAAGTATATTTGGAAATACATTCATGATATCCTCACACTTTTCAGGATTCAACTTCCAAAATTTTTTTCTTTCCCATTTTCAGTGGAATTAACTGGACAAATAATAGACTGAATGTGACTTTCTCCTAGATAAAATCGTAGCTAGAGATGCCCTGTTACGATATCTATATAAGGCCCCGATCAGGTATTAAAAAGGGTCCCTTGTAATGAAATCCCGATACGGTCCTGACTTGGTCGCTTCATCGTAGCCCTCTTAGGGTATTCCGATCCGGCCCTGACTTGACTGCCGTATTATAAACCTATACGAAATTCCTAATCTATACGAGTACGATCCCGATAAAATTATTTTATTGTAATCCTTTCAGAGAATCCCTTACTTGTCCTAATGAGTTTGACAATATGTATGATTGGACTTTAATTTCTCGACGAAATGGACTTTAACTAATATAATCTTAATAATCTTAAATTCTTACATAGTTTGAGTGTGTAAGTTCAAAATTTTATATTCTAAAAATTAATAAACAAAAAATATTTAATTACAAATAATTAGTTGTAATTACTTAAATCTTATTTTAATCTTGATCAATCAGGTCAAGACCATACAGGATATTCTGATATGCTCGGTGTAGTCAGGAACATACAAGTTATCCTCATTTGTTTCATGTAGGTTGACTTGGTCAGAATCATACAGGGTACCCTGATATGGGTCATATAACGTACCCTTTTTCGGACTTGCCTTTTTAAGGCCTTAGACAGATTTACGTATTGATACTCTAGTAGGGTAGCTGGGATGCCGGATCCGATCTACCCTTTTTATTTTCTACTGGGGTACTTTTAGTAATAGTTAATAAAAATATTAACATAAAACCATAATCTACTTGAGTTAATGAAGATAAACATTTCTGATCACTCGAAATCGAAAAACTATTTGATAGCAAATATTAGCGAGTTTTAGGATGGTTTTTATTGATTAATACCACCAGCCTTGTAGATACGCAATTTTAACATTCTACCGAATCGATTGATAGCTTTCCTGATGACTTTATCTGTTAAATTTTAAAACAGCGTAGCTATATAGGTAAAAGCGTTGTGTTGTAAAAACTAAATTTTACCAGAGGATGTTTTAATGATAGCACAGGGTTCGATTTCGACATCGAATCGCATCGGGAGCAACAACACGTTTGCACTGCGGCTGATTACAAAAACGAAACAAAATGCTTGATAACCTCATTATCGAAAACCGATTTGAACATGATTTCCATCGTAACGACCGCGAAACTTAATGAAACAATAGCACCAATAAATATTTATAGGCTTAATTGCATACGCACGCATCGACTGAATATATTTATTGAGTGATGTGGAAAATAATAATGTCTCATGGTTTTACGAAAAGTGCTGTATTGCAGGATCTCAATAATTCCGTTATAATAAATGGCTGGCCAATGTGGTATCAGTGCGCTCGCTGTAAACCGTTATTATGGTAAAATAGCTTAACATGTTTCCCATAAATTACAGTAGACATTTGGTAAATAACTAAACCAATTTTATCACAATGCATGCAATTAATCGAAAGTCAATTGCTTGTTACGATTACAGTACAATTACAAAGGAATACAAATAGGTAGCATAGGAATAGCAGAAATATTTTGAATAGAAGAAGAGAAGTCACATTATGATTAATTTCAGAGCTTTCTTCAGTACCTAACGAAAAAAAATGAAATATTTTGACAAACAAAATTTACTTTGATGCGGTGTTTTCTTCCGGGCTTTTTGGCCGTGGTCCGTGGAGTTGTACTCTTCCAAACGTTTCGCCGTTCTTTGCTGACGGCATCTTCAGTGGTGACTGGACAGGTGCTGAGGTGATGACATCAGTTACGACTCAGCACCTGCCCAGTCACCACTGAGGATGCCGTCAGCAAAGAACGGCGAAACGTTTGGAAAAGTAAAATTCCACGGACGACGACCAAAAATTACAGAAGAAAACACCGCATAGATATACGGCGGCTGTTAAAGCCTAAGAACTACATTAAAATTTACTTTAATTCAAACTGACAATTTCTTGAGGGAAACTCTAAATATGTTGTTTCTGAGATATACAGTCTCAAGAGGAACACCTCCGAAATCAAAAGGCAAGTTATTACTGAAATTGGACTTGAGACAGCACACAAATATCACACATTACAAATAGAGGACCAGAACTTTTTACTCATTTTATAAAAACAGTAGGTATTTGCCGTATTAATTTCCCTAGAGAGTACTTCCAATGGCTACTAGTAAAATACATCGGGCAGCCCAACAAATATACGTGTTTCCTTTGGAAGCAGTTCCACCGATAATATTTTCATACATAGGATGTATCTCAACTGACGAGCTTATCCTTAACAAGGACTTACCTTTCCAACTGTTGAAGAACATACTATATAAAGCCTTAAAGTTTTAATTGAGGAATATTATTTCATTACACTAACCTGCGGCTTCCTTATATAGATATAATCAGCATTACGTATATGAATTACAAGACAAACCATCATCATCAGTGAAACAAAATGTCTGCATTTTACATAGAAGTTTCCTCACCACCACAGCATTCTAGCTTACTTGCTGTGACGCTTGATCTCCACAGCTTTCTCTAGCATACTCCTTTGCAACCCCAGACCTCCACAGCTTTCTAGCTTACTTACAGAGGCTCCTAATCTCCATAACTTTCTAGTTTACTTTTCTACATTTCAGCTTATTTACCGCGGCTCCTGACCTCCACAGCTTTCTAGCTTACACTTCTGCAGACTGTAACTTCTATAGCTTCCTAGCTTACTTGCTGTGGCTCCTGGACTCCACAGCTTTCTAGCTTACTCTTCTGCAGGCGGTAACTTCCGTAGCTTCTTAGCTTACTTGTTACAGCTCTTGGCCTCCACAGCTTTTTAGCTTACTCGTCTGCAGCTCCTAAACACCACAGCTTTCTGGCTTCCGCGGCTCCTAACCTCCATAGCTTCCTAGCTTACTTGCCGCGGCTCCTGGCCTCCACAGCTTTTTAGCTTACTCGTCTGCAGCTCCTAAACACCACAGCTTTCCGACTTCCGCGGCTCATGACCTCCACGGCTTTCTAGCGTGCTCCTCTACAGCCCCTGAGCTCCACAGCTTTTTAGCTTAATTGCCGCGTCTCATTATCTCCACGGTTTTCTAGCTTACTTTTCTGCAGACCCTAATCTCCATTGCTTCGTAGCTTACTTGTTGCGGCTCCTGGTCTACACAGCTTTCTAGCTTACTCTGCAGTTCCTAAACACCACAGCTTTCTGGCTTATTTGTCGCGGCTCCAGACCTTCCCAGTTTTCTAGCTTACTCCTCTGTAGCTCCTAATCACCACAGCTTTCTAGCTTACTCTTCTGCAACCCCTCTTCTCCATAGCTTTCTTGTTTACTTGCCGCGGCTCTTGATCTCCACAACTTTCTAGTTTACTCCTCTGCGGCGCCTGACCACCAAAGCTTTCTAACTTACTACTGCAATCTTTCTAGCATCGTCATATCTATCTAGTATATTTCCAGACATAAAAAGAATACCTCCACCGTCAATACATCGAAACGTTTGTAGAAATTAAAAGCGTCATTCCCAGTAATTAACAGGTATTATTGTGAAACAGATTTTTAATTACATTTCGATGTCAGCATCAACGACGACGGCTCAATTTCAATTAGCGACAGAGTGTGGTTGTTTATCAGATCTTTTCAATCTTTCAGAGCGCATCGCACACTGTTGAACGGCGTCGCTTTCGGATATCCATATAAAGTCATAAACGGAGCTTATTACACCGACGTCGCGACGCTGCCTGTGTCGCGTCGGAAACTTATTTACGATATTACATCTGTGTATGTCTGCTCGCAACAGTATCGTGTGCACTGTATGTATGATATGGTTCGAAGGGGGTTGGCGGTGTGGAGTGGGAGCAACCGCCCATTGTTCTCACGTTTATTAAAGCCATTATTCTTGCTCGCAGACGACCGAGCTGCATCTCATTTGTCACGCAGCCGACACGAAACAGCGTGCTGCACGCGCCACGTGAACTTTCGCGTGACGGCAGAGGAGTGGTATGTAGGCGGCAATGTCAACCATCGGCAACGGTGGTGTGCCCTTTGCAACACACCCAAGTCTTGAACCACGCTTAGCACTACATAATTGCTTCCACTTGCTTCTTATTTGCATATCAAGTGCACACTAGTTGAACCCATTCTACAAAGATAACCTCCATGCAGTCTAGATTTTGTGTATTTGATGTAAGATCGTGTTGTGGTTTCCAAGCACCACTTTCATTTAATATTAACTTACATATTGGATTTGTATGTGCTTGGTTGTATAAACGAAACAAATTATTATAATCTCAAACCTTAATTACTATTTAGGAAGTATAAAAACATTTGAAGGAAATGTGAATTAAACCACCTGAAGCTTTCTAAACCTTGAAATAGAGTCTCGTGTCTACTCTCTGTTTGAAGGCGAATAGTCTCATATTGTCTTAATAGTGTTACGTTTAGCAAAACAGATAATCTAAATGTCCCTCTTCTTCTTGTTGTTACAGTTATTCCCGGTTTAGTAGCCGCTGATCAGAATTTAGTTACGCAAACTGTTTATGGATTTTTGGACTTCACAACAACGATCGGCAACACGGTTATGGTATTTTCTCCTCAAAGCGCTGATTCCGCAGGTATGGTTTTAATTTTATTGCTATATATGCTCATAAGATAAGTTATATACAGTCCTGGCGTAGAAATTATAGCCAGCATATTTGATAAGATATATTACGAGTTGGCTATATAATCCAATTGTTTTCAAATTTCTAACTTCATAAATATTTTGCATAAAATTTGTTTTCATGTTTTTTTGTAAAAAAATATTAAGACCTTTATACCAAAAAGAAACTAAGAATAATAATTAAGGGTACCTACCATTGAATTGGTGTCGATCATTTTTTTATTATCAGCAGTAATTTCAGTTAAATGGCTTTGCAAGGAATTAGTTTTAATTAAGGACTAACGTCTAGGTAATTGGAAGAAAGATATATGTGAAGATCACTTTCTTCTAAATGAACCGAATCAAAAAACATTATTTTCCCTTTTTTCGGGAATAGAGCGTCCATAAAATTTTACGATGTTTTACAGCAAGCGAAAAGAGCAAACCTTCGGAACCGAACGTAAACACCGTCATAGAGACAAAGCCCATCGCATCGACCCCACCGGAATCATCACCCGTAATAACACCGAGTAAAACAGAAGAAAAAGAGGAAAAGAAGTCATCCGAATTCAATAAAAAGAAATCGACTGTAGTCGATGCGAAATCGAACGCACCTGCTCACAGCAAGAGCGAACCAAAAAGTAAGGTGAACGTTGTTCACAAAGCGTCGTCGAGTGTTGTAAGTGCAGTCAATATTGTTAACGCTGTTACTACAAGTCCGCCCGAAAAGAAAAGCGTTATTACTAAAGTCGAAGTGGTTGGAGCAGCCACCACTACGCCTTTAATAGTTTCGAGTAAAGTAGAAATACAGGGTCCTACCAGCCATGTGGTTGCAACCCCTGTAATTGGCGACGAAAGCGAAACTTCTTCAGACAACGAGAAAGAAAATGAAGATGATGATAATGATGATGATGATGATGACGATGAGCCAGCGGTTATTCTCCAGAACAACATCGGAGAACCCGAATACGACTTTCTTTCAAGACAACCGTCTGAATTTGTTGAAGAAACTTACAAGGTTTGTGGAAGAGTTGTAACGGAATACGTATACGGCATCCTTTTCCCAAAGGTCATATCATTCGAGCGTAACAAAGTTGGTTCCCGTCTTTTACTTTTAATCCACGCTCTTAAACTTGGATGTCCGAATTGGTTTTCGCAATACAATTGTCTAATCTTTTCAGATTACCTTCGTAAAACACTATTCCTTCGAGAATAATTATCTTTAGGTCAACTGCATCTAAATAAGAATATGTTTCTGATCAACGTCCTGAAACTAGGACGTGGTTATGATGAAGCTGGTTGATTTTAATTGTTTCATTCCAATAATTTTAAAATATCAATATCTTCCAAGACTTGTTGCACTTTTACGTAGGAACATGCATAAAATTTTATGGTAATATTACCTTTAGATTTTCCCTTATCAATTGAAATATTTATTCATTCTATCGAAAAAGAAAGCAAAAGTGAAAATCAATTCGATCGATGCTTTAGAAACAAAAATATTTGAAATATTGGATACCAACTTTGTAGTTTCCAATTAGTTCTGTATTCGCAGATTGTACTTTATAGCATAGGAGCGTCCAATGTCTTATCCCTAGAAAAAAAAATTGACTGTATTGCCTATGGAGTGTTGCAACATTGAAAATAGAAGAATGTAGCAATGTACGGTAAGAAATTGCCATTGCGTAAGCAAAATAATAAGGCGATGCAGTTTAAAGTAATGTTAAATCGAAAGGGCGTAATCCAGGTGTTTTTTTTCTTTTTCGAAATTTTTCTGTCAGCGAATGCAGCATTGAATCATCGAAAACCATTATTCTATTTATAAGTAATGCACTAATGCTTTTTCTACTAACAATGCCTTTAAAAAAATATTTTTTATTTTTGTACTCACACCCTAAGTATAATTTGTAATAGTTTTCCTAATCGACACTTAACGTTGTTTCTGTTAACCAAGGTAATAAATTTGAAGCCCAGCAGTAAATTTCAATTAAAACATCGGCCATCTGGAGAAGCCAAAACAAAACAGGCCAGCCAACCGAAAAAAACTAGTGCGTCAATTCGTCCAACAGGTTTAGTAACAAAATTGGGAGGAACTGTAGTAAAAGACGGTGTAACAACTGTACATGAAACGAGTGTAATTGGCACGTACATATCCGGAAAATATGCCCAGGTGTTACAAAGTTCATCGTCGGTTGTCAATGGAAAACAGCCGAAAGGGAAAATCAACCCATCCCCTACCCTAAAGATTCTTAAGACCGCTGCAGCCAGTCTAGGGAAGGGAAACAAACAACAGCAATTAGAACCAACCCCAGTGGTTAGTGTCGAAACTGCTCTGCCCGTAGAGGGATTATTCAACGGACAGAATTCAATTAGACAGACGAGAAAGACGCCGGCAAGTTCCACGAAATCCCGTTTCAAGAATCGCCCCAAAGAAAAAGACGCCGAGCCAAAAGAAACTGTAACACCGCAACCTCCGAAAGGCAAAAAAACGAAACCTAGAACTACTCCCGCGCCAAAAGGCACAAAGTAAGTAACTGGTGGAAGCTGTAGGTACCTAGTTCAAAGCATTTGAAATTACTTTCCGAGCTGAACTAAAAGTTGACGATGATAAATGAACTGCATAAACATCTTCAAAGTTTCACATACACGTATCTTTGAATTTTTAAACAAAACTAAAAATGTAAATTTTATGCAATCTTTTTTAAACTTAAATACGTCATCGATTCACTTTTAGTTCAGTTCATTACCACACAAATCCACTTGTAAATAATACAAGCTACACAATCTACACAGAACAACAGGCCACAAAAGTAACAACAACAACAACAACAACAACAATAACAACAGCAAACGTAGTAAAAAAAATCGCCGAGCGCGAAACCAACAACATGCTACTGTATCTGTACACAGCGAACAAACCACGCACACACCTTCAACTACAGCATCTTCTGGTGGTAGGAAATATCAATCGAGGAAGAACAAACCTTCCAGGATTTCAACGACGACGCCCACAACAGAGACCACAAGCAGTGGTTTCTCCAGACGCGGTTTCAAACCTAAAATCCAACCATCATCTGTTGAACCTCAGTCAGGATCTCCTCCGTCTAGCGTTTACAAATTTAAACTGAATAGAGCTCCAGGTCGTTGGCAATACAAAACAACAGCTAAACCAAGAGTGACAATTAGAAAACAAAACGACGACACCCAGACTAATGGTTCAACTACCGAAAAATCTCCACAAGATCCGAACGTTAATGCTAACGATGTGAATCCGAGTGGCAAGGCGGACGAAGTGGACAGTTTGGAAGGGTCAGAATCCGTCGCTTCCATCATTGATGATGAAAATTCAACAGAAAACAAGATCGACAGCCCATTGCCTGTCGAAACCATAAAAGTCGAGATTTCTACTCCGCCAGATTTTAAGGACACTTACTATGAAATAGCTACAATAAAATCGCCATACATTTTTCAAGTGAGTACCTGTTACATCCGCTTTATCGTTCTTTGCATAGGAACTAGAGTCGAAATAAGTAGACGCGATACTTCCTTATTCTATGTGTCGCCTCCATGGTAACAATATTTCAGTTTAAGAGCAAAAATTTTGAAACGATCAAACGGCTTTCATGAAACGAATAATTTCAAAATACCAATTGGTAATGGAATATTAATTCAGGTACGATGTACCTCAACTTTTGTGTTAAGGTTTGTCAGTTTTAGCAGCAATTTCACGATACTTTTCTTCTTAAACTTAACTATGAAACAGCGGTAACTTTTATAGATAACAGATAGAAGCTCAAAAGCAAACAGAAGAAATGACCAAACTAAAAGAAAATAATAATTCTACAGCCTACTTAATAATTAACGACGTTATTTTATTTATTATTTAATAAATTATTCCTCTACTTCTATTCGTCAACATTTATGTGCTTGAAATTGTTTTTTTCTTTCGCTTTTTACGCTTTTACCGTTAGCTGAAGTTAATAACTTTATTTACAAATAGCAATTGTAGTCTTTGTTGTAGTACGCAGTAGATTGTCATTTTCATAATGCTTTTATTTGTACCAAATGCATTCGCTGTCTTCTTAAAAGGGCAGAAAAAAATTAAATAAATCATGGATCGACGAAGCTTTTAATTCTTGTGACTCCCGTGATGAAACAAAACGCAAACACGTAAAAATTACGAAACTTTTATGTGTTTGTGCTTTATTTCAAAGAAATAAACCGTAGGACGAAATTGTGAAAGGAGAAAATTATATTTTTTTGCTTTTACTGTATGTAGTTACTGAGCTTAATTCAGACACTGTCATAGATTAGGGGCATCTGCTCCTAATAAAGCCTATTTCTTTACATTAGTGCGGTTGGTTGAGGAAGACTATAAGTTCATTTAGCCAGACATTATATATCCCTTCCTTTATTATTTCCTTTGTTCCCTTTCATAACCCGTCAGACCTGAACTCTTGGAAGTCTGAAATCCAAGAAAACTTTACACCACGCATCAAAGAGTTTACTGCGGCTTCCTACCTACCAAACATTATAACAACTTTGTTCCTGACTTAGCATCTTCACTTAAAATTTTTAGGGGGAAATATAAAGCCGTAAAAATTTAATGTTCCCTAATAAAAGTGGATCCGACGTTGCTCTAAAAACAAAGGAGATAAGCAGTAATAAAGATAAAAAGCTTTTCACTCGATGAAGTTGCTTCTTATATGTACGCATACGAGCACTAAAAAACGAGATGACTTTGAAGAATGTATACGCACCGTTTTTCGATATACGTACAACACATTTAGATTCTTTTTTCTCAAAATTTAACTCACGAAGCGTGGATATTAATACGAAGATGCTTTTAACCACGAATAGCCAAACGTTTGGCTCGCAAATAAATCTCCATCGGTCACGGTGAAACTGTCCAGAAGATAAATTATTTTAACAACCACATTTAGTACTAACATAATAACTAAATAAAGTAAAAGATGTACCTATAGGTACCTACCTACCTAGGCATCTTCTATTTTTCAAAAATATTCGTTTCGTTTTAAAGTATTTATTATATTTGGCCCCAAAAGTCCAAAGTAGTTGTGGAAGTTTCTATTTTACGAACCTATATATTTTCCATTAATTAGCGTACATTAAATTATTTAGCTTTTTGAAAATCCTACAAAGGACAAATGAACTTTGAGAGCTTAGTATTTGTAGGTAGTAGTATACATATACGCTTTGCATTTTACTGAAAAATGGTTATACTGAACTACAAACCTTTTTGTGCTAGTTAGTAAATCTCTTTGATAATAACGGTATGAAGCAGCGAATACTTTTGGCCATTTAATCAATATTTGATGAATAAACAATTTTCATTACCTTTGATTTTATCGAAAGCAATGAAATATAAATAGTAAATTGGTTTGTGATTTATTTACATAAATTTCATCATCAAAAAATAATTCCTAAAAATGTGTTTAGCCGCAAAACCAACAAACCAAAAGCTTTTATTAAAACAAAATTCATATTCATCCATTTTGAAATTATTTGCGTTGTGATGCACTCTGGAGTTCATTCAAACCATTTTAACTAGATTCCAACATTTTTATATTGTATGGATTGTTAAAAACCTCTAACAGCATCATTTGACCGAATAATTAATCTTTTCAGGCTGGTGGTCTCAAAAATACACGTTATATTACCGTGACGTCTACTTTTGAGAAACTATTGGAACCTACGCCAACAGAAGCTCCATCGCTAACAGCTACAGAACCTCTTACAGAAAACATCCTTGCAACTACGAGTTATAATGACAAGGACGGAAATTTCTTGGATTCCAGCATAGCGACTTTGCCGCCACTCTATGTGGCATCTGATATGGAAACTCCTCCATTAGAAACTAAAACAGAAACCTTTAGCACCACGCAGACGATGCTAAAAACTCACATTTTGCCAGCAGTTCGTGAAGGGAATCAAACATCCACATACACGCTCATTCAAACGTATTTGATAACGAGAATTGTGACCGCCACAAAAACACTACCCCCAATGGAAGCCTACCACTTCAATCCAAGCAGAACCCTTAACGAATTTAACAGTCATTTGGATGAAGCTGGATCAGAATTGAATCTCGATATTGCGTTCGGTGATGAAGAAAGCGAAAACAGTCTGAGAAAGTCTTTCCAAGGTGACTTGGACCTTGCCAATGTGGGATCCGATTTTAGTCTGTCCGATATAGATAAAGCTAAACTGATGGAAGCTCATCTTCGTGCTAAAAAATTGAAGTCTGCAACACCCAAACCTGAAGTAAACTTGGTACCAACACCGAATCCAGCTCTAAATCCTGATCAACTTCAGCAGCTAGCTCTGCTTAGGTTCCTGAATCCTGCCGCAGCGGTTCCCCAGGGACAAATAATAACCACTTCGAAACCTGTCATTAAACTGGAAACGGTTTATGAATCCCATGTAATTCCTATCTTCAATGGCCAGAGTACCATCCTGACGACCGTTTCAAAGGTTCTTGGAACTGTAACAAGAACCGACTACGAACTAGGAACAAGCACTATAGCTGCCCCGGTGGTTCCCGCTTTACCTACAATCGCGCCTGTCAACCCACTATTCCCACAACAGCAACAACCCCAATTTACAGTAACATCGTCTCCAATAGTTCAAAATACCGTACTGACGCAAACTGACAGTAAGGTCCTGAAGTTGACTTTCGGTGCGAAAACGGCATACACGACAATATTTTCAACAAAGATTGTACCAACGATGGTCACGACTTATATGACAGCATCTGTGCCTGTTCAACCCACGGCAGCATTTCCTGGCTTCTTCCCAGCACCCTACCCGCCATTTCCCTATTTAGGGTAAAGTCAACGCGAGAATGAAGCAATGAATCGCTTCTACAGACTGTATTGTAAATATAAGTGATTCTTAGTGGTGCTGAAAGACATGTAAAGTGTGAAAAACTTTCCCTACATGAAACCAATTAAACCATCAATTGTAAATAAGCATTAGTGTTGTATGTCGCCGTAGTATTTAATGTAATTTCACCTTGTAATATAGCTCATCTTTTGTATATTTACCTCACACAATAAATCATCATTAATACAAAAGGTACAACTTTAGTTTTAATTTTAACTGCAAATAAGTTTACTTCAGAAGAAGAATTTTAAAGTTGCCGACGACTTCAAAAGAAACATAATCATTATCATGTACAATAGTGAAGGTATGTTTTAATATGCTTTCAAATTACGCATAATTTAAATTTTTGTTAAGGATTTTAATTCAAATATTCAAGACTCTGCATACATATACGACGAAATTAATTACGAACTGCAAAGTTAACTGTACGTCAAATATTTGCTTCATCGTTACGCGATTGTAACGTATTCCAAGCTCCATTATAAGCATTTTCTAGAAGCAATTTAATATCTAAGCAAGCAACTGCATTATTTCAAAAGAAATAAAAAAGCAATTCCTTTGAGAAAGAAAATTTAAAAATCTACTCCGTCATCTTTATGAAATCGGAAGTCTTTTAATACTCAGTCGAGATACGTAATAGATAAAAAGTATAAATATCTAGAAAGAACACGAGGGTGCTCTAGAGCAGATATTGAATTTCGGTGGAGTATAAGCTATCATCTACAATAGAATTATTTAAAATGAAGTACACTGGAAACAATCGATTTCATTGAAGCCAATATCAGCACCATTCTAAATAATTTTAAAAACAATTGAGCGCATGATTATCTTTTTTAGATTACGTAATTATCATTTGTTGAAGCTTAATTTATTGCAAAAGTATTTTGGGTAGTGAACTGTCGGTAAAGACAAGATGAGCATTTTTATTGACCTTTTTTCAAAACCAGCTATAAATCGTTCCAGAGCAAAAATCAATAACGCCGTGGATTTCAGGGCGGTTGATTTAGAAAGGATGCAAGAATGACATAAGACAGGATTTATAACCCTCTTGGAAACAATGTATTGCGTTAGATATCAGTGGCGCCTTGTAATTTTCTACAGATCAATTTTAGGGGATCCTGTGGTAAAAATAGAAATGTGTTTAAAACGTTGAACATTATTCTGTACAACTAATTACATAATTTAGAGTTTGTCAATTCGTTTTTCTACGTGTGTTAACGGAAAATATTTATAGCATTCGAATTTCCAAAATACTTCCATGCTGTGGGTGCAAAGTTTAATCTTTCCGTCAATTCATTACATTCAACGAGCGTGAAGGAACAGAAATTAAAGTGGCCGGAGCTAAAATCGATAAAACAATAAGAAAGTTTTCCCGTAAAATTAACCCTGAAAGTTGATACTTTACTGACAAAATCAGGTTACATTCCCAATTTATTTTAATAATGGTTTAACGAGGAAAATCGTTCCTAGTACGAAGTCAGGTCTAAGGAGATGTGACTGGAATTATTGCAGAGCGAGCTGAGACCAACTTCCAAAAGTATTTTCCGCTAATAGCAGTTAGAGCGCGGGACTAGCGCAAGAAAAACTTGTTAGCAGTCTTACAACGTAACTAGAACTGAAAATATTCTGACACTATCACTTTCTGCACAACACAGAGGCAGAAGTTATGTCGTACACTGTGTGTTTGCAAAGTGATGTTCTCTCTATAAAATAAACAGCTGGTACATTGAAACTCTACTTTTGGCAATTCTCGAATGTCTGTTTTAAATAAATGATTAAATTTCCGATAGTTTTCCTTTTATGAACAAAATTTTTACAGTAATTGGTTTCGCCGAGACATATTTTAAAATTTCGTATTTTCTGTAGTTAATTAGAATAAAGACGCATTCCGGCTTGAAATACTTCTGCTGTGACTAGGAAGACGTAGCAGAGGCAACATTAATAAAAGCATCGAATGAAGTCAGTAGTCCAACATATTAGTGAAGGTTTCCGTGGCTAGTAAGTAAACTGATGTTGTCCTGATTTAGATCTAAAGGCTGTCGCCGGTTGAAATTACTTCCTAATGTTTCGCTAGCACGAGTAAGAAGTTTCTTCAGGGGTCCTTCCATCTCCGATGCTGGATCAACATCCAGCCAATGACGACCTTTAGATCCGAATCAGGACGCCATCAGTTCCAGTAGTTGAAATTGGAGAAACAAAAATGGAAAAAGAAACTACGGTAGGTATCGTATTAAACAACCTGGAAACACAATATATACCCGAGATAAAACTGTTCAGTATCTCAGAGTCCCTGAAAGTGAGACTCGAGTCTCCGTCTCTCATCGAGTCTCTCTGGTGTCGCTGAGAGAGACTGTCGAGAGACTGTCAAAAAAACTATTAGCGTCTCTGAACGAGAGACTCGAGTAGCTCATAGAAAAATCCTCATTTCGTATCCAGTCTCTAAACGAGATACTCGAATCTCTGAACGAGAGACTCGAATCTCTGAACGAGAGACTCGAATCTCTGAACGAGAGACTCGAATCTCTCAATAAGTGGTGTCTCGATAGACATGGTTAAAATTTTCTAAGTTCAACATATTTCAGAGATCCCAGTCTTTCTACGAGAGACTCGAATTTCTCAATCTTTCAGTTTTATTCATTCAGTCTCTCTGTGAGAGACTCGAACCTCTGAATTAACAATTTTATCGTATGAGTCCCTCGTATAGAGACTGTGATAGGTTCATAAAAACACCTAGGCAATAACTGAGAGACGCTAAAAGACTGAGAGACTGGAGAGAGACACATTACCAATGCTTCGAACCTTTTCTTTTCTGCTGTGCTCACTGAGCACGTTTCGCACCCCTACAAAGCCGTGTTCCTGACAAATGCTTTAACAATCCTTTTTAAATTTCTGAATTAACCTTTCGCGAGCATAGAATTGAATTATTTTTCTGAACGCAATATTTCGAAATGATAATTTTAGAACTGTTGATTGCTACAGGCTATGGCTTTTTTTCTCTCTCTCTGCAAACAATAAGTAAGAGTGAGAGAGGTGCACTAACAAATTCGGTTCTTAGGCTGCGTTGCCAGACCTAGGGAATTTAAAGTCAGCTTAGGGAAAAGAAGACTTATTTAATTCATAGTAAAATAAATTATTCATTTAAATACCTACTCATAAATAAATAATGCGTCAAACGAAATTTTTTTTCGTTTAAACATTTTTTTCTGGTCATGAGAATCTATGGAAATTTGTAAAAAAACCTTGGGAATATAAAAAAATTCATTATCCAAAAACCTTTGAACTTTTTCACTACTATTTTAGATAGATTATGGTGATTGATGAATTTCACTGTAACTCTACAATCTCCTTATCCATCTGGTGAAATACACACAAATAACGTATATTGTGATATAAACTCCGACCGCTTAATATTAAATTAGATTCAGGCCATCCAGTCAAGTATTTCTGCATTCTAATGTGCATAACGGTCGATGTCGAGGACGGCGCTCATTGAGGAGGTCTTTGGAGAGTTGATGGAAACAGCCGCGATGTCTTTCTGCTAATCTTATTTAACTTCAAACCGTGTCCTTTGCTCCACATTGTGTGAAGATGTCCTGGTCACGAACTCAATTTCTCTCTGAATAGTAATGAACCAAGTTCGGCTAGAGAAGAGGACCTCGCAGACGTTCCACACTCGCATCGACATTTAAATTACTGTCCTAATCTTACTATGCTCTTGATTAAAATTCACAGAAATACNAATACCTTAACTTTTTAGATCAGATAATACTGTGAAAAATTGTGCTTTGGTTGCCCGGAAAAACAAATTATAGAATTGCGTGCCTTGTTTTATAAATTGCTAGCCATCTATTAATATAATGAGTCATATGTACCTGCTATCAGTAAATTATACACACATGAAAACAGCTCGCAATTCTTAATAACCATATTATTAATATATAAATAAATTAACGTTTTCTTGCAATGTAATCAAACGACTTAGGGAAATTATCTGATATTTTCCAGTGCTTTATTGTATAAATTAGTCTACTATTGAATGAGAAAGGGGTCCTGAGCTTAGGACCAGGATGTACTTTATTAATCCCTTCACTCGGATTCCTGATTTCGTAAAAGTTAATTCGATTTTGATTGTCAGTACTGATGAATGAAACTGCCTTTGTATTAAATCTCTTGCAGTTAAAGAATACAGGAACACATCACGTTTACAATACTTCTTGCAAATGCATAAATGCATGTATTAATGTGCACATTACAGTGTGTAGTTCGTTGCAATCTAGCGGCAGACATGTCGAGCAATTCGCGGTGCCGTCAAAACAATAGGAGCAGCAGAAAGCATGCGATTTATTGTACCGGTTATACCATATTTCATATAAATTGCTGTTTGTGGCTTCGTTTGTCATTGTAATATACCTGCATGGTTATCCTTTAAATAAAATGAATGCGTTATCATGATTCACCGCGAACTAATTCGACTGATAATGACTGTAGGAAATCTTTACTTTATAAGCTCGATAATAATGCTTCATATTGTTCAATTTTGTGGAAATTAAGGAAAAACAATTAGAAATATACAATCAGAACGATACATGAATTATCAACTGCAGCAAAATTTTAGATATTATTTTGAGATTTTTTGTTGTCAGTCCAAATCAAATGTTCTCAAAAGGTTCTATTTAAATAAACCATTGTTCTGAGTATCTAGCATTTCCAGGTTTTAAATGCTGCTTTTGAATCACTGACCGTGGCATTTTAAAAATGATTTTTTGAATGACTAGCATAAAAAAAATGTGTTTTATCCTGCCTTTCAATAGATGTCGTAATCCTTGTAATCCAACACGATTCAATAGAGCTTTAGCGTTTTAGCGTTGTTATATGAAGCCAACTATAAGCTTGTCTGTCTTCTGTTCAATTCATTAATTCATATTTAAACAGTGATTCATGGGCACGAGAGTATAAAAGCGGCGTATTGTTTAATGAGAAGCTTTACGTGCGCGTGTTGGATCGAATGACTTTTGCATACATTTATCGTTAAAGTGCATGGAAATAACGTACGTATATCGTCCAATTTCGTAACGGTAATCTCACAAATATGCATAATAGCTGAATGCCAAGCAGCCGGAGCTTAACAAGTTGCATAAATAATATAAAGCTCCCACATGGGATACACGATAATGAGCATGCAAACTGTTTTCAAG